TACCGAGAACGACAAAACTGGAATGGCCGTTTCTGGTTTAATGGCCGTCATTAGCCAGCCAAACCCAACCACGAAGTATGCAACCCCCGAGATTAGAAGTTCAACGTCCCCCACCACCTTCGGGGGTGAAATAAGCCCGAAAGAACGCTGTGTCAAGTAACCGCATCTCTTTCGACGCAACATCGGAATTTTTCAGAGTAAAATCTCGGCTGCCATATCTTGGTAAGATCCTATTTCGTAGCTGTACCTGCTAGGGGTTGGGGGTCGGAGGTTAGGATCTGGCGTTAGGAATAAAGGGGTCAGGGTTAGGGGTTAAGCTTAGGGGTTGGCGTCTGGGGTTAGGTTTAGGGGTTAAGGATTGGGGTTAGGGGTTAAAGTTAGGGGTTAGGAGTTGGGGTTAGGGGTTAGGCTGGGGTTTGGCTACCGCAGTTACGGCTACGAAATATGATCCGACTCATATTTGGGTGAGGGCTTACTTTGGTAACCATCCCCGCCATGAAGAAATGGCTGTTTTCTCGTCGGGGTTCAGGACACGTTCGGCTTCACAAACTCAGGAGTATAGTCAAATCATACAATTTTAGCTCATTGAAGGTTGCAGAGAATTCCTGAATATCAACGGGGTATTTGTAAACAGATGTGCGTTCATTTTTCATAACGACCATAGATATGGTTCCACCGGTACAAAAGTGGTTTTTTTTTCACCAACAATTGGGCAAAATGTGGTGACGCACCTTCTGCATCAATGTCCGTGTCGTAATCCATGGATCTGACGTCGGTGGATATATCAAACGGTACTGGCGAAGCAAACTGGCTATCAGCACCCTGCACGGAGACAAAAAATATAATGTTATAAAAGAACCTGAACCCAAAAGTAGGCCAGCAGTTCAAAGAACTTGAAAGAAAACACGATCTAGCTCGGTGGAGAATAAGGTAATACCGAATAAATACGCCAACAAGATCGCTCTGTGTAGTTGAAGAGTAGACTGATCAAAATAAGTCCGGGAATCCCACTCACGCAACGCAGATGGCTCTCCGCTAAATTCCAAAGGCGCTGAAGTTAGCGTTGGTGCTGGAGTTATGATTGGGGTTGCAGCAGAGAAATAGTTACGCTTTCTGGAATTTCACGCAAGGCCGCCTGCAGTGCGGGGGAAGTTCCCCAGTCCCGCGTCTACTCGTTATTTGAAATGATTTAGTTCCAGAGTCAAATGAACTGCGGCACCAGAAAGGGAATATTAAGCAGACTTTGGTGTTTGCAGTGGAATATCCAATGACTTGCGTCTCAAGCACACGGGGGGAGAGCCAAGGGTACGGTTTATGAAAGTCTTCTTCATAACTACTTAGATATTACGACGTTTTCCTGTTGATTTTCGATGCCCTTATAAACTACAGTATATATACGGAAAACATACACAAAATAGATGTTGTGGCAGATTTTGAATTATTCCTGTTGACCCAACTGAAAAACTCGGCGCCTCGGTGGGATTCGAACCCACGCAGTAAGGGGAAGGCTGTAGTACAGCCAACGCTCTAACCACGTGAGCTACGAGGCCCCGCCGGACGATGCGAGGTTAATCACATTTGAGTCAATTTACCCGCCCAACCTACTGCAACGTCTGGAATCCACCAAATCTGATAGAGTAAGTTGATTGCCCAAGCAGGGTTTCCTAATTAATTAAAAATCTGCCAAAACATCTATGGATTACGTGAGCCTGGTAGTCATCTGGTGGATTCTAGATACATTACTTAGGAAATCCTGCTTGGGCAATCAGCTTACTGCATTAGATTTGGTGGATTCAAGACGTTGCAGTAGCTTGGGCGGGTAAACTTGACCCAAATGTGATTAAACTCGCGTCGTCCGGCGGGGCCTCCTAGCTCAAGTGGTTAGAGCGTTGGCTGTACTAAAGCCTTCCCCTTACAGCGTGGATTCGAATCCCACCGTGGCGCCGAGTTTTCCACAGTTGGGTCGATATGAATACACAAAATACTCCTTTTGCTCACATGAGAGCAAGATAAGTCTTTTTCAAACTTCGTACTTGAAGGAAGGGTGTATTTCGGTTTTTAACTAGTTGCTAATTACGAGATTCTTCCAAACCGTGAAAAGTTCACTTGTACAGAATCGCATCAGTACACTTATAAATGTTACTTATAAGGTAGACGACACAGTCCGCATTGGTCACACATTTTTGGAGTCCTATACGTGTTTTTCATAATAGCATATAAAAAGGGCATGATCTTCTTTGTATGAAAATTATACAGATTTCAGTTCAGAAACCCTGAGTGAAAGTGTAATAGCGGGTCGGGTTCGAAATTAGTCAGTAATTGGGAGAGCGTTCTTAAACCAATAGATACTCGTTTTTAGAATGCAAAATTTAAAGAAGTCGTTATTTTCTACCCGGGAAGTAAAAGCACGAAGAATGCATGCTTTCTATAAAATCTATTTGAATTTATGAGGACATCGAAAACTGATGGGGATGATTCACGCTACTTAAATAGTTATTTTTGCAGACTATAATTCATGTCGGCGGTCGATAAGGAGCTCGTGCGAAAGCCGGCATCCCAACATGGCTGGAATACCTCAGCCTTATATGAAATGATAAGTAACATGACAACCATGCTATTTTAATCATTTCCGAATTTCAGTCAACATTTCGTGAGATGGCGCATCCTCCCAACACACCACTCGCAAAATCGAAAACATGTCTTACCCGATGTGCTCATACCGCAGCAGGTAACTTTGACGACCCCAATAATCAGTCAGCACGTGCAACCTCCTGTTCCACCGGACATCCGGCACTGCCCAGAGAGGCCCGTTAACAGACTGGAATGACTGCGACGTCCTAATACTCAAGACTACTAGCTTAAAGGAGTTAGAACTACGGCGGTCATTGCGAATGTACTGTCGTGACAACCAGTAGGCAAGGATAGGACTTACGGCCGGGGTCACGTACTTCGAAAAGCATTTGCGTTGAGCAGAAGAGCTGAACACCTAAGAACTCTGTGGTGTCACCAAACAAAAGAAGACACTATTTTATCATAAAAGTAGCGCATGCATGTAATGCCCCTTTGCAGGCATTGTCAAAAAGGGTATTGCATTGTCGTACTTTTTACGCCCTCAAGCAACAGCCATAACGAGGTCTTTTTATTTCTTTCCGTGGAACGTACGAGAATATATCACCAATCAATTCTTTTCAGTACAATTGCTCCCAGGAGTAAGTAACCCGGGCCATAAACCATACCCTTGGAGAGCGGGAGGGGGCGCTACTGTTTGTGTGTGCGGGTGAAACTACAAAATTCTGAAAGAATGACAATAAAGGCGACAATGGCTTCAATTTTAAAACACCTGAATGACCTCGAATGCTTTTAGAATACGTATCTTAGGCGGCGGAAAGGGCGTTACCTCCTTTTATGTTTAATTTAACCACGTCGACATCCATTAGCAGGGTGCGCGGACTCATATACCGGTTATGCTTGGTACTGTAGCCACACCTGGGGAATATCATACTGTTTGTCTACTGAACTGTTTTGAGTAGGCGTGATTATGTCGATATAATGTGCTTTGAAAAGTTACTGTTGAGGTATGTTCTAACTGCATTTACTAGGTACGTCAAAAGCATTTCAAACCAAGTGCTCCACGCAATTGCATCCCGCTCCCGCTATGTTTGCCCTCTACTTCTTTTCTAATCCAGCGAGTGGCTAGGCTAGGTACGTCAAAGGCCCAGGAGGAAGCCATTGACGTTCTCATGAAAATGTCACTCTTACCGAATATACAGTAGACAAATTAAATGGTGTGCAGCCGCAAGGCCTTGGCCGTGATTCGGAATTGCATTCTCCGTTGCCTTTGCAGTTAAACGTATTGGCTTTCCGCCTGCAATTTATCTATACCTTCACTATCATTATTACAGAGCGACTTACAAAAACGTTCATCATACGCCTGTCCCATTTCCAATGTTTCGTCATCTGCCTTATCCGTTTCGTTGACTGCCACCGAATCCTCTCCCTTACCTTCTATAACCTTTTTTGCATACCATGCAAAAGACCATGACTACGCGTTGCCAATTCCTATTGGCTGTTTGTCTTCCTTCTGCATTTTCGTATTCCTTGCCTACACATCGACTTTCCTCATACACAATCACATTTTCATCATTTGCACTTCGGCTTCGCCTCTTTCAAAACTTCCCCGGTCAGCTAAAAATGTTCCTTTCTATCTCGCCACTTTTTGTCTTTCCTTTACGCGTCCAAAATGCCCCATGCGTAAAACCCCTATTGTAATAGGGGTTTTACGCATTTTGTATTACATGCAGCCGGGGTTTATCCGTTTCCAGTGCATCTGCAAGACTAAACCCGACCCATATAATTTTGAAAGAATGATAACAAATACAGAAATAGCCTCACAATCCAACACACTTAAGCGACGAGGTCTTCAATAAAGATCAGGTGCTTTTTAAAAGTATGCTTTTAGGGTGGAAAGAGGTTTCCGTGCCTATCCTGCCAACCTCAAGTGTTTTGACACCCATCGCCAGGATTTGTGCTTACAGTTGAACATCATATCGGAAACGACACGTGAGTTCTCTCTACAAACAATTTTGGCTGTCCGGATGGTAGTCAATAAACCAACCCTCGTCCATTTTCCACAGCTACAGAATAAAAGTAAGCCTGCAGCCGAGAATTGCGGCCTTTTTAAAGTTGCAAACACTTGCCTCCAGAAGATCAAACACACTTCGCAGGGCGTCGTGGGCCACAAGCCTTGCGTCTTCTGCGGTCAGATACTGCGCAAAGTCAACTATGCGATCAGCAACCTTGTTGAAGAAGTTGGCAATTTGATTTTGACCCCCACGGGGCAGGTATCGGCTGTTTTGAGTAAGCAGAACCAGATTGGAGGTAGCCTGCAGCAGGGTAGAAGCGTCCATTGGTTCAAAGGCGGTTGCAGCCTGGGAAAGCTGCTGTAAGATCTGGAAGGCGAATAAAACAGGTTGTGACCTTCCGGTGAGGGGTCTGGATCCGAGTAAGGGTCGCCAATGATTGTGGTCGTATTTTACTCAAAAAGGAAATTTATCATGACTCTTTTGCCTGAACTTTGCACCTTCGGCTATTATGCTTGGACTTGACTTGATACGGCTGCGATCATGCCTGATCTAACCGGTCTCCATGATGTCACGAACTGTACCTCTCCACGCGTGACGATCTGCGGCAGCAGATCTAGACAGCTCAACCCATTCCCTTCGCCAACGACGGAGACCGAATACCGAAGGTCCAAGAACCACCTCCATGTCTTGACGAACTGTCGAGTCAGGTTTTGAACTGACCCCCTCATCGACACCTCCCAATGGGGCAACGGTGTCGGATCGAGGGCAGTAACACTGAGCTCCTGAGGTGTACGACGAAGAACATGCCCGAACCACCTCAGTCGTCTTTCTTGGATGGCCTGAGTTATCCCTGCGATGTTGTCGCAGCGAGCGCGGGCTGTCTGATTTGAGACGAAGTCGGTGAACTTCATTCGAAGGATGGTCCTCAAGCAGTGGTGGTCAAATACCTCCAGTTTTCGCTCATCCGCCACGCGCAAAGCCCAGCATTCACAACCGTAGAGAAGGACAGACCGGACAGATGCACGGTACACGCGAATCTTAGTGGCAATCGAGAAGTCACGTCGGATCCTTAGGCATTTCCGAAGGCTTGAGAAAACCCAGCGGGCAGCATCGATTCGGGAGACGACGTCGTCCTTACTCTGTCCATTAGGCAGCAGCCTCGCCCCGAGGTATTTAAAACTATCTTACTCTCCAAGTTAATAGCAATCAATCCCGAGAGGTGCCCTCTCCTGGTGGGGATGCCGCTTTAAAAAACTTTAGTTTTCCCAGCATTTATGGATAAACCGACCGATTTAGCGACCTCGTTCACCCGTGACACCATAGACTGCAGATCACCGAAACTTGAAGCAAGTACGGCGATATCATCGGCATAGTCGAGATCAGTCAGTCGGCATCTGCAAATGGACGGGTAAATTCGACTCTAGGGGCGTCGACAGGACACGGAAATATGGATGGCCTCATGCCAAATTCCAGGGATTCTTATTCCCTTGTCCTATCTTTGTTCCTAACCCCTGGCATTAATCCTTATAAACTTAACTCTAAACATAATCCCCAATCCTAACCCTCCTATCCCTAGCGACAGTTCGACTGTCAGTTACGATAAATGTCCACAGTGTGCTCCGTGGTAGTAGACTTGTAAAGCGTCTACCGCACTCTCCTCTTCTCCTCCATCTGGGTCTGGTGCCATAATCATATTAAGGAGACCGGGGGCGGGAGAGGCCACGGTTGGCTGGCACGGCGAAACCACGCACCTAGACGTACCACCACACCACCTGGTTCACAAAGAACTCTTGACCGGGAGTTTATACAAAAACCAATGCGGGCGGCCTGGATCCCAATGCAACAAAGAACTTACCGTGCCTTTTATTGTTCTGGCACCGGTTGAGTTGGTGAGCCCATCCTGAAATGTAGCATTCAAATCATATCTGAAGGGCGACTGAAAGACCATGGACTTGCATTAAACAGCTACAGCGAGCGACCTAACAGACGAAATATTAACTGAGGCCAAAGAATATGATTTCGGTTTGAAAACCCCATGTAAACGGAGTTTCAACACTGGGTAGCATTCAGGATAATGCCAGATTTTTAATTTATGTTAGAATGTTGGATTTTGAAAGCAAAAATCACGCTCGCAAAGACGAACTATGCATGCAGTGTGTATTTATTGATTTTCGAAACCAGATGCAGCCAAAATTATTCGGAGATTGGACATTTTTCCACTGCCAACGGGCAACCTTGCCTTATATAGAAAGTGTTGGGAATACGTAATTTGATACGAAGCGGTTGTTTTATGCCCGCTTTCTATAAAATCTATTTGCACTCATAAAAGCCTAGAAAAGCAATAGAAAAAAAACGGAAAAGTTTAATAAGTAAGTTTTTAGCGAACGAGATCTTCACACGTGGCCGGAGAAACACGCATTCAAGAACCCTCACGTTACTCATTGACTCCCAAAACACCTTCTAACCGTGGCCATATTTTTGAATTTTTATCAAAATTTTGTGAGTTAAGTCATCTGCTGTGCATTAGGTCGGAAACGTACAGCAAATCTAGATGCAGGATACCTCCACGCATTCACAGCGCATTCTATCCTATGGACGTCAACAGCGCGGAATGATTCCGATTACCTTCAGTTTATTTCAGTTTATTTGATAAGGATGATAGGCAAAGCCTTTGAAAACCCTATTGATAACATGTCAACTCGTTAGAAATAACTGTACAGTAACAATGAAAATATTCGCTATATACAGAGTACTTGATTCATTTGAGTAGCATTGTCACAGAGAAAAAATATGTGGGGAACCGGGGTGTTTAGCTCAGATTCAGACTGTCGAGGGAAAACAGGGAGCTGTTCTCCTACATAGGTCACTTTGGCAGTCTTTGTCCAGATCTGAGCATGGATTCTTCATTTCTAAGATCACCTCTACTGCCATGGGTAGATCCAGATATTGATCCTCGTTTGGCCTAGCAATTTTTACAGTATGATGAAACCAGCGCACGTAAGTAAAAACAGCCCTATATTTATATTCGGGATGTAATAAATACAATAAGGAGACTTTAAAATTCTGCATTCAGTGCCACTTACCCAGTAACCTAAAATAGCAAGAAGAAATGCTAGTTAGACTTTTTTCAAAAAATAAGGGGACATAATTCTTTAAAGTTTAATTTTGAGTAAAGGATTCTTTTTCTAAATTGGTCTGTGAACGTAAAAATTGCACCGCCAGGCTGATTTGCTCAACAGGATGTAGGAATATGGTGTCTGTATTGTTTCGCTCGTGGTCTTTACGAAAAAGATAATAGGTCAGATGTGGTTAGGTAGCCCCACTTGAAGTAAATAAAGCCAGCCGCCTGTAATACAGGACCGGCGGTAATAGGGGTTTTTACAGGCAAAGCCGAGGAACGCACAGGTGACGAGGTCAAGTAGTTGTATGCAAAAGAAAAGTTACTGGGAGTGTGTGGTTGTACTTTAAATGGTTGAGAAATAGTTGCGCTAACCCCAAACCCTAGCCCTAGCCCCTAACTATAACCCCTAATCCTAAACCCCGACCCCTAACCCTTAACCATAACCCCTAACCCTTAAATCCAACCCCAATAGCAGTGTCCATCAGGTGGGACTACCAAACCACATCTGACCCGCCGTGGAACCGTCGGAGATGGCACCTCAGTTGGTGCAACTGTCAGCCTCAGTATAACAATCAGCACTTTTTTGTCTCCCCGACTATTTTTTCAGTCCACGCAGCTCACTCTGCGGACTGATTTTCGAAAAGCTCTGCGCGATAACCTATTAGTGTTTTCAAGTTTTGCCAGGGCATGGGAATATGACCGCCCGTTACCGCAGGTGACATTGCGCTAAATGTTAGGGTGATTAAGATTAGATTTAAGGGAAGGGTTAGTGCTAGGGTTAGGTTATGGTTAGGGTTAGATATATGGGCGAAGATAGGTTATGCGACGGGGGTCAGCAAAAGACAAGCAGTGGACTACTTCCTACAGAAATTGCGGATATAAGTGCGGGGCCTCACAGTGAGGAATCAGGGGACCCTGAGAGGCCGTCACACAAACCGAAGCAAATCCGCAAATGCGCAATCTAGAGCGTGACTGATGTCCGACCAAAAACATATCGAAAAACACCTACTTATACAAATGTAGTAGGCAGATCTCCGACCGGAACGGAGAACGACGCTAGTGGCCCGGGAACTGGCGCTCTACAAGGTGTACTTCGCTGCACTCAGTGAGACCTGGTTCTCCAAATAAGGCCAACTTGGAGGTTGGTGCGGCTACGCCTTCTTCTGGAACGGTCGCCCTAGGGCAGAGCGACGTGACGCGGACGTCGCCCTTACCATCCGGAACGACATCGCGGGACGGACTTTACAGTACTGAACTTAATTATCCGTTCGACCTGTTTTAAAAAATGGTTACCCCGGAGATTTCGTGCGTCCATACATGAGACGACTGGAGTTACAAGAAAAACGCGAGGACCTAGACTGCTCCGATTAGGCGGCCAAACCAAATGACACACAAACACTTTCGCAGATTAAGAACCTGTCCCAACTCCTCGAAAGAAACCTGAAGAAGCAGAAAATCTCAGCAGCGCACAAACCAAGGACTACACTACGAAGCCAGCTTGTACATCCTAATGATAGGATTGGCTATTTGGATAAGAAAGAATTTGCCCACAAAATTCCACGTGGCAGTTAAGATGCAGTATATTGTGTTTAAACGGAAAAATCGACCTCTACACTCCCGCTCGAACACCGGTTGACAGTAAAGAGACGAAATCAATTGTCTCAAGTTGCCATGCATACACTGAAATCTGGATACCAATTTGTCTGGGACCAAATTGCCATTGTTGGTTGCGGCCCATTTAAGTAGAGCAGGGGATTTTTGTGGATCATGCACTCCGATTTACCGCGCATTAATGGACACATCGAATTGGACGCCGTGCGCAGCAGTCTCAAAGACAAATGGAAAGAACTACAGCCAATCTGTGCGAGATGCCAATCCACAATGAGGGCTTACAGGCAGGAATGAGAAGGAAATATCGGTTTTTTAGGCCAATTTAAAATTGCAACTGTTTTGCGCATTGGCTGCACATGTGACGAGGACCTGGGGAACCGGCCTCGAAAATTTACATGTAAAGTTTGTTACTCTTTCTCGAAGAGTTTATTTCGTTCGAATATATATATATGATCACTGATGGGCGCTCACCGATCAGGTTACAGAGCATGCTCGTTCTGTTGCACCTTGGGGCTCATACTTAAACCCTCGCAGGCAGTCGCACGGCAACTAGTGATATATGTTGATAAGGTGATACCGACAAAGACAAGGGAGACCGGAATGGCCATTTCTGGCTTATTAGCCATCATCAGCCAGTCATACCTAACCCCAAGTGTGGATCACTTGAGATTCAAACCCGGGATCTTTGGTCATGGAGTTTGACGCTCTACCATTGAGCCACGGGCCCGTTGTCCTGTCGGTTGTGATCGGGAATATCAATTATGACAGATGGGCGCTCACCGATCAGGTTACAGAACATACTCGATCACAACCGACAGGACAACGGGCCCGTGGCTCAATGGTAGAGCGTCGAACTCCATGACCAAAGAGCCCGGGTTCGAATCTCAAGTGATCCACACTTGGGGTTGGGTATGACTGGCTGATGACGGCTAATAAGCCAGAAATGGCCATTCCGGTCTCCCTTGTCTTTGTCGGTATCACCTTATCAACATATATATATCAGAGAGTTTACGGGCTCTAAAAGGCTCTATTATCCCGCAGTATCGCGTTTGCGGGCAGAAAGTTGTGCGTTATTGAGTTAAAACTTTAAATTTAACTTACCGGCCTCTTCCATCTTAGTTGCCTGAAGTATGGCAGTCGCCAGACTCTGACACACCACACTGATCTCATTGAAATTTCCCTCTGCCGTCAATCGATTCAAGCTGGGGTCAGTTCCATTGGCCATAGCCTGGAGTTGCACAAACAGGTTTGTAGCACTTTGTTGCTGGAACTGTAAAGTCACGAACGAACATGCAGAGTGAGCAAAACGCGCACGACTAACGTATGGCATGATTTTAAATAAGTTTGTAGAACGGCGGGGGCTCGAACTGACTCATAACTATTCCCTTGCTCTTTAAAATAAGCCATTTAATCCCCATGTACAGAACGGTCGTGAGTGTCGCCGTTTTAAGAACGGGAACATTGAAATACACCAAAATAAGATAAACAAACCTCAAGATCACTGATTTTTTGCAAGCGCGGCGCGGTAGTTTAAACGCACCGGTCCCCCCAGTAAACAGATTTACGCTGCAGGAATCGAGATCATAAAAATACGGTGCGTGACAGACAGTGATTAAGTTCTCGCCACCGATGTCTCACCATGAGCGTACAACAATGAATGCTTGAGTGAATCGCCTACATTTCCAAGCCTAAAAGATTACATTTAGTGTTACTTTCAGTGATTGACCGGTCTCATGAAATGTTGGCCGAAATGCTGAAATGCGCGCTCGACAGGAAAGGATTACTTACGTGGGCTTGTAAAATTAATTGTCATGCGACATAATCCTATAATGTTTCGGACTCGCCTGGATAACGGCTTTTGAATGCACTTCTTTTTGACTTCCTAAAAAAACCACACTCGGTAAAAATGACTACCTAGGTAACATGCGTTTTTTGTATTGATTTTGGACCCCCCATAAATGCTATCTGTTGGCTTTAGAAAGTTTTTAATTATGAGATTTTAAGACCGTGCAATGTCCATTCACACAGCAGCGTCACTGTCAGTTTATTAGTACTTCTCATGAAATGCACAACATAATCCACACCTATTACAAAATTCTATGAACTCTACGGGGTATCTTTTTAAAGGCATAGAGGAATATATGATTTCCCTTACGCGGAAAGCATATACCTTGTAGCCTGAAATCGCTAAAATTTAATGGAACGGCTAATCTGAC